CTTAGCCAACCGGTAGCATAGAAGGACCACCATAATCCTCTTGTTGAGCCAAACGAAAACGCGAAGCAAAGGGAAGAAAGGGGGCGACACTGAGCCCTCTGCTTGGGAACGCTAGCGCCGAGCGGTCTACTCATGCCATGCATACGCATCACACGCACGCACGCGCTCACCATGGCCAGAGCACAACCATGGCAAGACCGCCGCATCTTCTACGTCGCGGTAAAGGCGACGTTGACACCCCGACTGGCTCTGCCATGACAAAAGACACACCGCGCCCACCTTAGCCGAGGATGAAGCCCACCGGAGCCCTGCGTTGCCGCACCGCACCTCGCCGGAGCACCACCGCCTCCGCTTTGCCCCCCCTCCACCATGGCCGGAGGCGTTGAGAGCTCCCGGAGCCCCTTTGACCTGCTCACCATGGCAGTAGCAGCATCGGGGAGCTCGTGCGCACCACAAATCTCTGGTACCGCCACCACAGCCACCACACCGCCGCTCGTCGGTGTACGAGGACCGCCGCCACCAAGGCCAGCCAACTGGGGCCGCCCGGTCACCATGTTAACTTCACCGGGGCACCCGCCATGGCAAGGCCAAGCTTTTGCCCACCTTAATTGCACACCCACGCCGTTGGAGGGGCTCGTCGGTGAGCTCACCATCGGCGGGAGCACGTCGGGGAAGAAGATGGGGATTTTTCCCTCGCCGGCCACACGTCCGTGCACTTGGTGCACGTGAACCGAACCCTGCGAAGGAGTAAGTGGACCAAGACCTTCATAGACCGGCTCTAGGGTCTATGGACCAACGCAGGCGGGTTCACCATGAACCGCGCCTCACCTGTCAGTCACCGTTTGACCCCGGACCCACCTGTCAGTGACCAAACGAGATGATGACGTCATGCTGACGTCAGCGGGACCCACCTGTCAGCCACGGTTTAGCCCTGATGACGCCATGCTGATGTCATGCCGAAGATGAGACCATGCTAGCGTCGGGGACCTCAGCGATCTTTCCGACCACTTCGGTGACCTCTCCGACCACTCCGACCACCTCAGAGATCTCACCGACCACCTCGGCGACCTTTCCGACCACTTCGACGATCTCACCGACCACTTCGGCGATCTCTCCGACCACCTCGGCAACCTTTCCGACCACCTCGGCGACCTCTCCGACCACCACACTAGCTGATATACCACTTCAAGTCCCTACATGCCACGTGAACCAGTCACGGTGTGACACGTGTCAGCCCTGGATTAATCAGCCTTCATTATTTTCAGAAATGGATTTAATCTTCGGAAATTCATAACTAATTCATACAACCTTAGAAAAATATAAGACCAGGACCAAAATTCATCTAAAATCAAGCTCTACGCAATGAACCCATGTTTGAGTGCATTTGGCTCTTTTGAATTTTCATTGCTTCTTTGTGCTATTCTATAGACGTCGCTAACGCGACTATAATTTGATCGTATGCAGACTCAGAGGAGAACCAGACGGACGAGGATCATGGGTACCGTGAGGAGTACGGAGATGACTTCACTGAAGGTGCCACATCCCACCCAATCTCGTAGCACCTATTACGCATGCCTAATATAGAACTGTTATTGCTTTACTTTATTGTTATACTCACACTAAGATAGGACTTGCATGGTAGTATGCTTACTTGATGGCCTTTACCTTGACGCAACCTTACCCCTGCTCACCCTGTTGTTAGGCTAGTCACACGCTTGCTGCTATATTTCATTGCTTATTACTTCTACTACGCTTGTACTACATTGATGCGTGGTGGAAACTGGTGTTATCTAGACTATGGGGAGAGTGTTGCGTGTGTGACTTGGGTGCGTGGAGGGTGAGGGTTGTATCGACCAAGTTGGAGTATACGACGAGCCTGGGGCAAGTCTTGCCGTGGGGTGCTACCTGGGCACCCCTGGAATGGATACCTGTGGTGGGTAAATGGTATATGAGGTGGCCCTAGGTGTGAACCTATGATGGGAGGAGCCTAGGGTGGAGGTGCTGTGGTGGCACGGTAAATGGAAACCATGATGAAGACATTCTGGCTTGGTCATCCCTAAGGACTTACTAGTACTCAGATTTACCGGGAAGCCTTACGTACCACTTGCCCTATATATGGTGCGGGACGGCCGGACTACTGGGTAGGATATTGCCACTACTGCTAGGTTGATAGCGGACAGTGTGAGGGAGGTACGGGGCGCGGAGGATTCCCCACCCCCCCCCCACACCCTTCCGAGACTTCATGGAGACCTTGTGGACCCGGCTCATGACTCATAGTTTCAGCCACCCCAGACTAGACCTGGGGTGTACCAGGGCTGAATGGTAGGGTGGCATTATCCTAGGCTAGCAAGCGGCCGAAATTAGCCCAGTTGACGACGATCAGCAAGGAAGGCGGATCTTGTGGTTATGTAAAACCTCTGCAGAGTGTATGGTTGATCGATCGATACATATGCCGACTTATTGGCTATGGACCTTTCCTGGGTTTCGCTTAAACTAGATAGTGAGATGAGTCCTTCTCTTCTCCCCCTGGGAGTAAGTGTTTGGACGTAGCCAGGAGCTACGGGCCATGAGACAGTGCCGAGAGGGAGTTGGCCTATCGACTGAGCGAGGGTGTGGTGATGATATGGAGATGATGGTGTATCGATCCCTGGATCGAAACCTGGCTCTGGACGGGAATGGGGTGGAATGGGTGTGGGAATGGTGTTAAAACTTGACCAACTGTTATTATATGTACTTGATATGCTAATACATAGGAAACCCCAGCCTTATAGGTTCCTTTTGATTATATCCAACTTGCATCCAATTTCCACAAAGCAATGCTCATAGGGTGGGAGTGGCAAGTACAAATCGTACTGATAAATTTTGGCACACAGGTTCTGCTGAGGAGTATAGCTCTGAGGAGTTTGACGGTTGAGGGGTTCGTTCCTACGCTCGAGTTTTGACGATCTTATCTTCAAGCTATTCTGAATGAATGTTACTTTTGATTCCGCCAATGCGGCGATGTAATAATTTATGTAATTCCGCACTATTTGTACTCTGATATTACGTTGTATGGATGTGATATTCGACTGGAATTTAGGTAATATGATCTACAACGGTCTTATTACACTTCGACGCTGTGGATTTTCCTTCACGAAAATCAGGTCGTTTCATAACTGCTCTTGAATATTTCCATATCACCCTTTGGTTAGCTTGCCCCTCTTCTTGTTTTTTTGTTGCCCCACTTCAATTAGCACCGTGAGGGCATCCATTTTCGCCTTGGTGAGCGGACGCTCCAAATGTTGCGCAAAAAATTCAAATTGGTTAGCTTCCTCTTGTGTTGCTAGTGGCGATAAGTCTCCTAGCTTTTTGATAAGCAACTCCTCAGCAACTTGGATTGCTCCTTTTCCTTGTGTGGTTTTGGATTTCTCTGCTAACCTAATGCTTTTGCGTTGTGGGGTAAAGAATGAGGGTCTTGGTGCTGGTGGGGTTTGAGAAGTTACATATGTGTTTTCCATTTCATGATCATTGGGTTCTTTCTCATGAACTGGTATGGGTAGTTGCGGGATTAGAGGGGCTGGTACAAATTTAGAAATTAAAGCCAAAAATCCATCAATTGTAATTTCCTTAGCTATCGCAGCTGAAAACTAATCTGCAATTGTAATTACTTATCTGTTAATGGAAAGGTAGATTAAGGAACTCTAGAGAGGCTTGGGGAGTACCTTATTGCAGGATTCTTGCGGTAGAGAAGTGCAGTGTGCAGCTCTGCCTCATGACGAAGATCGCGGAGGCAGGCAGCAAGGAGAGGAAGAGGGAACTGTGAGGTGGAGATGGTAGCACCACAGCGGACAACAGCGCACAAACAGGCGACGAGAGCAAGCCAAGGAAAGCCAAGGGAATGTGCGGGCAGATCGTCATCTTGGTGCGGTGACACATACCGTCGTCCACATGTTTAGTTAGTCAGCCGAATCGGTGTTTGTACAAAGTGTTCGATCCATGTAATTTCTTGTATTTGGTAATAATTGTCTAAACATTGACTAATTAGGTTCAAAACGTTCGTCTCGTAAAGTACAATCAAACTGTACAATTAGTTTTTGATTTCGTCTATATTTAGTACTCCATGCATGTACCGTAAGTTTTAGTACTCCATGCATGTACCGTAAGTTTGATGTGACGAGAAATCTTCTTTTTCATGCCCCCACTGCATGCCGCGCCTACGCCTCTATTCTTTCATGCCCCACTTGATTCGCCTACGCTAATATGTGCTGCCAGCGTTGCCCGCGCAGCCCGAACCTGCGGTGGGAGGATGGAGGAGGTGTAGGTGTAGCCTGCAGGGACGATGGAGCAACGAGAGGAAGCCTCGCCGTGGAGGGGACAGGTCCTCAGCCGAGCGGGTTCGTGGCTTAATGGGTTGGGTGGGAGACCTGCTACGAGCCGATCGAACGGTCTATATGGTGCTCTCGCTAGATCCAACAGCTAACGGGCTAACAGGTGATGTAGCCTTATCGGGTGCCCGCGGTTTGTCTCGGTTAACGGGCTAACGGTCTATATTATAGAGATTGTGGTTGCTCTCGGAGTATGTAGACACGCCCAGGCTCGAGACTTCGAGAGATGGAACCGGCACGATGACGCCATCACATCGCAAATACCAAATGCTGCAAGCCCTGCAATGCAACGCGCTATTGGAGATGAGTGCTAGCTGCCAGCGCATCTCCAAAGCACACAAGAACCGAAGGCGACGAACTGAAGACGTTACCAAGAAAATCCAATACAAACCATTTTATTCAGCTCCAGAACGTGCACGAGGCAACACGGCGGCGCTGCCGCTGCACGTACGACAGACGACAGATCGATACAAGGACGCACAACTACTCAACCCAAGCACATGACACAACACAACAACGACGAACTCACGAACACGACTGCTCTGCTGCCTGATCTGCTGATCACCTACGACCAACAGAACCATACGAAACACTGTTACCAGCAACTGGATATCCATGCAGCTAGCAATCCGTGTCCTACTCGATGCCGAACCTCTTCTTCAACCCGCAGATGAACTCGTAGACCTTCTCAGGCGGGTACAGGTTCTTGGCGACGCTTGGGCGTTCGGCGCAGCGCTTGGCCCACGCGGCCAGCTTGGGGCACTCCTTCTCGACGCTGAGGTCCCCGAACCGCTCGTAGGTGAGGAACCACGACGTGAACGGCACGAGCGCGACGTCGACGAAGCCGAAAGCCTCCCCGCCGAAGAAGCGTCCCTCCCCGAGGGCGCCCTCCAGCGTGCGGAGGATCTCGACCATCTCCGTCCGCGCCTGCGCGTGGCCGTCCCCCTTGAGCTTCCACAGCCGGGTGCCGCAGTCGTAGAGCTTCTTGTCCACGTAGTCCGCCCAGAACCGGGCCTGCGCGCGCGCGTAGGGGTCGCCGGCGGGGAGCAGCGCCGGCGTCGCCGGGAACGCCTCGTCCAGGTACTGCACGATGATGAGGGACTCGCAGACGGGGCGGCCGGCGTGGAGCAGCACGGGGATCTTCTTGTGCACCGGGTTGGCGCGGAGCAGGAGCTCGCTCTTGTTCGCCAGGTCCTGCTCTAGGTACTCGTAGGAGAGGCCCTTCTCGTCCAGCGCGATCCGGCAGCGCTGCCCGAATGGGCTCACCCAGAAGTCCAGCAGCTGCAGGCCCTGCTTCTTCTCCCCGGCCATGTCGTCTTCTTCTCGCTCTCGATCGACTCGCGTGCTAGCTGCGTGTGTGGGTTTGTGAGCGTGCACTCGTGCTCGTGCAGTGACCAATGGCGGATCGATGGTAGCTGTGGAGGTGAGGATCGATGAGGGCTCTTGCTTTATTTATAGGTGCCGAGCTGAGAGCGAGGGGTGGAGCAGGAGGCTGGAGCAGAGCTCGCTCGAGCCAGTGTGATCGAGGAGGTTCCGGAAGCTCTGGCCTCGTGTGTGGGTGGGTCAACCGTGACGGGATGGGAGTAGTCACACGCGCCCGAGGAAATCTCAGAGTACTACTGCGTGCGGCTAGTGTGTCTCGGCGGGAAAGATCGCGCGGAGATGCATTTCATGCCAGGCACGGGTTGCAGGGCGTGGTGGCCACAGAAGATCGGGCCTGCCATCCCGGATATGTCACGGGTGACGTCACGGGGGTTGCCTCTGGTCTCATGCACGCGGACATGCACGCGACGGCCGATGCCTGGCACGGGTTGCAGGGCGTGGTGGCCACAGAAGATCGGGCCTGTCATCCCTATAGATGGCCGTATGGGATGACGACAGGGAAATTGGATTTGGGAGTACTTCCATGCCCTGCCGCCTGCGAACCTGCTGGATCCGGACCGGCAGTGCGGACCGCCCATCATGTCCATCCGATTTCGTCGTAGTGCGTTGGTCCGGTGCGTTGCGCCGTTGCCAAATGCGGACTTGCCTGTCCATTCGAGTTTACTCGTAGTAGTACTACGAAACGGCTGCTTGCTTTCTAGTACTTTCGTCTACGGTTAGCCACGCTGGAAGTGGCCGTTTTTGGTGTGTGTTTGATTCAAGTCATCACAGCACGGACACGGCGATACGTGTCCGGCTCCGCTTGCTGTCACGGCGTGCGTCATGGCCTCATGGGGATATGCGGTGCGCCGATGGAGCGTCCGCCACCGGGGCAGGAGTGAACGAATGCCTTGCTCGGTTTGCTCCGATGATCCGGAGCTGGGAAGCCAGGCTAGGATGGCACGCTAATAAATTCAAACGAACAGGGTGCCTAGCTGACCAATACCTCTGTTGTGTGCTGATTTCCTCTCTGCAAGTGCATGTAGGCGTGTACGTCTACATGCAGCATCTCTCGGCCTCCGCTGCGTTCTTGTCTTGCAGGGGACACAGCGGCAGCGGTGGCCGGCCACAGCCCAGAGCCTACAGAGGATCTGAGCAGGCGATTCCCCGCGGGGACGCAAATATAGGGTGACATAGTGCACTTTGTGTGAAATCTACGGTTCTGCACCCAAAGAAGAAAAATATTAAAGAAAAAAAAAAGACTACCTTACACAGGGGCACAGGGCTGCGCTGGGCGTGTCATATTTGAAAACCACACACTGAATATGAACTTGAATCTCAGACCCAACTATAATCCTCGTTGAAAGAAGAAGACTAATAGCCATTCTTTACAAAAAAAAAAAAGACACGCATATACGTGTACATGTCCTGTATGAACGCACGTATATATATCATGTTACTATAAACATGACTGAAAGAAATAGCTGGTAGATTTTAAGGTTGATGAACGTACTATATACGTCTCGCTATAGAATTAGTGAACAAATCTCGAGACTAATAAAGTTATCATAGATCTCATTGTCTACGGGTGTATCATCTACCACTAAAAAGAATTGTCGCTAAATCCTTGAATAAAACTATAAAGTACGAATACACATATCAAGTCGAGGACTCGACTTGAACACACAAACATCTTGATTTTGATAAGCCAATATATCTCGATACTGACGAAGCCACTCTAGATATTATGAACATTGTCGTCCACCACTGAAAATAGTATCGTTAAATCTTAGAACAAATAAAAAAAGCTCCCACCTCAAGTCTTTGACTTCAACCCGGATGGGTTGGTTCAAATCTATGCTCAGTTCAAAAACAAAAGATACTCCTCTATTATGAATGCACGTAAATTTAATCAAATCTAGGTAAAAATTGATATAGATATCTATATATTATCAAATACTCCCTCCGTCTGTGAATACAGGGCACAACTCCAATGAGAGAACATGTGTGCGCTGTGAGTAACGGCCAGCTGCATGCAGCGTCAGAGCCAAGGAGAAGGACGACGCGGCACAAAATGTTGCATGCGCGCGTGAACAGCCGCCGATCAGGCTGGGCACTTTTCACCCGAAAACCGAAAACCGAACCGAACCGAGCCGAGCCGAAACGAAATATTGGTTTTTTCAGTTTTCGGTTTCGCCTTCGGTTTCTGGATTCCAGAACTTCGGGCATCGGCTTCGGTTTCGGTTTTTAGCTCAAACCAAACCGTAAACCGAGCTCATCAATCCACCGAAGGAACGTCTGAGTCTGTGTCTCTGTGACTGTTTCTCTCCCTCCTGGCTCGGCAGCCCACCTCAAACACCCCCCATCCCAAGCAAAGCCCATGAAGGCCCACCAGTCCACCTCCTCCACCACCCACACCCAGGCACCCACACACTACGAACCCTAACCTACCTACGGCGGCATGGCTGGGTGGCGGCGGCGGGTAGTAGGCAGCGGCGAGGCTTGCAACTGTGAGCAAGGAGCGGGGACAGCGCAGACCCAGGCATCCAATCGTCGAGCGTGTGCGTGGCGTCGTGGCCTACGGGCGGGGGTGGCAGCGCAAGCTTCGAGCGGGGGTAGCGACGCGGCGTCACGGCGAGCGGGAGCGGCGCGACTGGCCTGGCGTCCGAGCTCCGGGTAGCTTGGCTGCGCGGCGGGTGGGGGCAGCGTGGCTGTGCGAGCTCTAGGCAACACGGCCTCCGTGCGTCATGGCGACCGGCGAGAAGAAGAAACTTCGGTTGAAATCGAACACCAAACCGATGGAACCGCAACCGAAATCGTCGGTTTCTGTTTCTTACTCAAACCAATCGGTTTCAACCTTTGTCCATATATCATAGAGGCACCGTTGAATGCGATCGCTATGGATATGTTGAGTTTGTTGACATGCAAAGCGTGCCTGTGCTATTCAATGATAGGCCTCATTTAGTAAGAAGGTTGCAAGGGCTCGGGAGGAGCTGCATTGCCTCGGAGATGATGATGATGGCATTGCTGTTGAGGGTGTACTGCACCTAGGTTCTCCTCCCAATATCCTCAGACGAATGATCTCAATTGGGTGTGCGGATCAGTGGGAGAACTATGTGAGATCAGCTATGAAGAGCCAGCTGCAATGTTTGGACGTGGTTGTGCGTCGGGTGTTAGTTGATCCCATCCCTCATGGGTTTTCCCCACCAATAGGTCAGCAGGCACACTTGGACCCTCTCGTCCTGGAACCTGATATGGATGTGGAGGTTGCACCTACGGTTCCCGATGCTCAATCTGCCCCCAATCAGGTAGTTGGAGATGCTTGTCAGACTCATGATGTTGTGTCAGATCCTCCTCATGAGATCCCTTTAATGCACAACAATGAACCCATAACATAACAACATGTGTTGTGTTTACCTTGGTTTGCTAGCTTTTCCACGCCTTGGCATCCTATGGTTGTATAATACAAATATTAAAAATTACATGAAACCCTAAGTAATGGCGATTCTTAGGTTGAAAAATTCGACTAATATATACCAAATCAATGCAAAAAAAAATAGGAGGGGGCGAGGATACCTTGCTCTCGAAGATATACGGATCAAATCAAAGTTTTTAAGGTCCAATATGCCGATTCGTGAGGTAGGGCGAAGTGGGGAGAGAAAAAAACCCGAGAGGGAGGAGAAAGAAGAGGATGAAGGCTCGGACAGGAAGGTTGGGGGCCGGGTCAAAACACCACCTCGGCGCCATAGATCCCGGCGCCAAGCTCCGCGCCAGGATCTACGGCGCCAAGCTGTCTGTCAAGTCACCGCTACGTCTGCGTCGAGCCCAAGACCTCGGCGCCAGCAACGATGGCGCCGAGCTAAGGGTTCAGATTTTTAAAATCATACCTTTAGGGGATATTTGTGAAATTTTTTTAAAAAAAGCTAAAAATAAAAATAAAATCGGTACTCACGTGGGCACTAAAACATGTCGGCAAACCAGTACAGGCCAGTTCCGTACACTATTACTAGTAACAACAAGCATGCTAAGCTATCTATCGGGTGGGGTTCATCACTGGTGCTGAAAGCGGGGGCGGCCAGAACGGACCAGACGAGGAATAGACAGCAAAACAAATGAACAGCAAATCCGCACCAGTAAGGCCCTGTTCGGTTAAGCTGAAACCTGACCTGGAATAAATCCAGTTGACGATGTCTATTCAAATTAGAATACGAATCCAGCCAGGAATATTTATAGGACCGGTTCCCCTTCAACCGAACGGCCCCTAAAGGTTTGGCGTTTGCGCTGGAGGCATCTCAGATCTACTCCCATCAGGGGGGGGCCCAAGATCGCTGCGAGAAACCGACCTGTGATATCCCGTACCTCCACGGCCCCAGACTGTCCAAGTCGTCCCAAAGGGCCAAAGGCCAAAGGCCTCGCGCCTCCATCGGCCTCGCAGTCGCAGTGAAAAAAAAAGAACAGGATTGGCACGAGGCACCAACCGTACCGCAGTGCAGTTCAACTGTCTCCGCCACCAGGAGAGGACCACCGGATCACCACAGCGATGCCCAGAGGCGATTACTGCTGCTGCACCCAACAAAGCTCCCCGAATAATACCCAGAGATGAGATATTCCTTTGCCGCGCCAGCGCTAAACCATGTGCTTGTGTAGTTCTGTGGCATTGAGCGGGCAGCAATAGCATCCGCTGCCCTGGGCCCGTCATAGGCCCAGCCTTTGTTCGTAACCTTTAATAGTTAGGGTCCTAAGAATGGTACAGTGGGTGCACGTATTAATAAGGCCAGTGTTCGGCTGGTACGGATGATTTACTGCACAGGCGGAAAACACTGTTTGTACTATAATGTTGTGAGAGAAAAACACTGTTTCAGCTAGAAAAATAAGCCGAAAAAGCCAGCTTCTTTCCCAGCCGAACACAGCTGAACTGTTCACAACTTTTAAAGGCTGTTTCATTAGGG